AGAGAGAGAGAGAGAAAAAATGGTTATTCAGTAAAATGACTGAGGACTGGTTATTTGGCTTCACCCCGTCATCATGTTTTCCTAGGTCTGAAGATGATGAATATGAATTGGTGATGAGGAGTCGGGTCACTCTCGGCTATTTGCACAACAAAGGGAAGAAAGTGATCACGAGAGGACGGCATCGGGTATGCTGAATAGCTCTTGAATATTTTTCAATTCGGATCAACGTGCTATACATCCATCTCTTTCTTCATACATAGTCCTCCCCTCCCCTCCCCTCGCCTCTCGACTCGGCCTCGCCCCGGCCCGCCCCTCGCCTCCTCACCTCATCAACCTCCACCATTTAAGCATTAAATAGCCAGCATTCTGCCCGTCTCCCTCTTTTCTCCCATCGCAGCCCTCTGGTTGGACAGAGCTCATCGTGGTATCAAAAACGCATACTTCAGACTACTAGTAACACAAGGAAACGACAGAATCGAAGACGCCACTCCCGCCATCCAACTTCGCCGCTATCAACAATAAGACACACGAGTATAGGTAGCCTAAGGTTCCATACTATACAAACCACCTCCCATCGGAGAATATGAGAGAGGGATACACCACCTGACTCGTGACAACAACAAGAAAACTAATGAAGGTATTGAACGCCGAAGGAGCCCACGCCTTGGCTCGCGAATTTTGGTAGAGGGCGAAGAACCAGCTCAAAGGAGAAAGGCGCAAAACAGATATGCCGGAAAACCCCGTGAAGATGCAGCAGGACGACTCAAACACCCAGATGCAGGAAACGCTAATAGACAGGAAAAAATACGGAAAGCAAATGTGAAAGGGACGAGATTAAGTGCAGGTGGTCGGCATGAAGCGGGCCTCATATTCGAGTGTCACCGAGGTTCAACCAACTCATATCGTTTCGGGGGAGCGGGTGGAGGTGTTGTGACCCAGGGAATTGCGTGGCGGCCTCGTTGTCATAACTATAAACCTCGGTGCGTCGGCCCACCGTCGTGGCATAGTTACTCTCCGAGTATTCGCTCGCGCGATTGTGCCATCCAGCGGCCCCATCCGCAGGGGTCCAGTGCTGCTCATCAACACTCTCTGGGACACCGCTTGAGAATGCATCGTGTCGATCGTGCTCGGAAGAAGTTGAACTTCGAATAGACCCCGATCGTCCAATTCTCCCAGCCATCTCGCCTGGCATCGGGTGATGCGACTGCACCGTAGGGCTGTAAGACATCACACTGCTGATCTCTGGCCTATCCCCGGTGATTTTTAAAGGGGGTACGATTGCGGAGGGCCGCGTTTGATCTTGGTCGATCGAGTACTGGGAGCTCCGATCCGATCCCTCGTACGTTGTCCGCTTTGAGCCGAGTCCAAGGATGTTTAGGGAGCTCCCCCCCCCGGACCAGTACCGGTTCCAGCCTGAACTCCTCCTCGTGCTTCCGCGTCTCCCATTCTTGGTGCTCCCACGCGGCCTAGACCCTCCGGCTCCCGCTCCGGCTCCCGGTGTCGCTGGCCCTGTTTCTGCAAAAGAGACCGTCTTCTCATCTCGGATACCGGCCAGATACGCAGTGTCAGGAGCTTTGAAGTAGTCGTTGAAGTCGTTATTCGCTTCGCTCTCGATCCCCTTCTCGTCGCCTCTGCCATTTCCCACACGACCCATCATGATTGCTATGGAGGAGCATGAAGATTGGGATGCCGACGGCTCGTGACCCTGAAAGCGTCTCATCGGAGTGATTTCTGGCACCCCCTGATCAACGAAGTCCCTCGGGTCCTTGCGATCTTGCCATCCATTCGCGGGTCGATCATCAGAATCCTGCGTCTTGACGCCCACACGGCCCATGATGATAGCCATGGAAGAGGTGGAACCTTGGGATGCCGACGGCTCGTGACCTGGAAAGCGTTTCGCCGGAGTCATCTCTGGCAGTCCCCTGTCGACGAAGTCCATCCCGTCCTTCTCCCCTTGAAGCTCGTTCACGCGTCGTTCATTTTCAGCCGCCTGCTTCCTCCTCCTTCTCCACCTGACAAATGCCAATATAGCTATCAAAAAAATCGCGAGACCGCCTATCGACCCCAACACAGCCCCCAGTATTCTCTCAGGGTCATCGTCTCGGGGACTCTCAGCGGGAATGACGACGGGTGTGCTATCAGGGACACTCGTTGCGCTTGCAGAGGGTGTTAGGGAAAGGATTGTTGGCGACGGACCCTTTCCAAGACCTTGTTGTGATACCACTGACTTGGATCCGAGTTTGGCCGTTGCGTTGACCCATGTGTTTTTCCGCGCCGTGAAAATGCACAAGACATCCTTCTCGTTCCCACCGCTGATAACAACCATTCCACTCTGGTCCTTCGCGACGGAGAACGTCGTTCTCGTCGTCATGGGTGCTAGTGTACCGTTGTAAGGAGGCCAGTTAGCCACCGTCAGCTCATTCCTCTTCTCCTTCGGGCTTCTCTCCTCAACGGGCGCGGCATTCTGCACAGGATTGCCATTGGCGTCTATCAAGACAGTCCGGTTGATGGAGTTCGGGGAGGTTGTCATATCAAGCGTATAGATGTTCTTGCTACCATCATTCCCATTGATGACGACGGCTTTCACACTTGAGATATTGTAAATAGGAGCAGCGAACGTCGCATTCGAGTCGACCCATGATTCCGAAGGGCTGAAGATCATGGCCTTTTGATTGGTCTCGCTCCCTCCCATGTACATTGCCTTGCTCTCGCTCCACTGCAGTAATATGGGCGAAATCGCGGGAGGTGCAATCGATTCATAGGCCAATACGGAGAAAGGAGGGGAGGCCTGTATCGTGAATGTCTGCGATGATAGTTGCTTGCTGCCATCTTGTGTTCCAGAGTATACGAGAATCGAATCGGACCGGTTCAGATACACAGCATCGTGGTAGAGTCGACCTTGGGTGACGGGAACGGTCGGCGAAATCGTTTCCCAGCTCTGGTTGGCGAACGTGTACCGCTGTAGGCCCTGATAACTGGTATCTTTGGTGGTTCCTCCCACGATATACAGTGCTGCTGCGGTCGTATCGTTTACCGGGGTCGACTTAACACAAACTCCTCCGGAGACTGGCACCCCCATATCCAGTGTCGTCCACGCCGCATCATTCGTCATCGTCAACGACTGAAATGCCACGGCGGAGTATGTGAAGAGGGTATTATTGAACAACGCCGAACACGACCCGGTCAGGGAATATTGGGGTATTGGAAGGCCCATTTTTGCAAGTCGAGGCCGTCGGCGTGTCGACCTGTTTTTTTTTTTTTATGATTTTTTCTATTCTCGATCCGTATCGGCTCCGGCGCAAGGCCGTGCGTGTATCGTGTCTCTTTCGCAGATCGAGACTATTGTGACATCGCTTCGGGTACTATAGGGAGAACGGCGACGAGGTCGAAGAGAAGAACTTGTTGCCCTCGAAATTATGGATTCCGGGCGTCAAGGTGTGCAGGTCAAGTTCAAAAGAGGTAGGTGCTGGATCCAAGATGAACTGTCTGCGAGGTGTTAGTGGCTGGCTGTTGAGAGGTCGCAACTCGAGCAGCAAATGTATGAGTGGTTTGGTGGTTTGGAGGTTTGGTGGTTTGGTGGTTTGGTGAGGCACGAGGCTCGAAAGTATTGGATTGGAGAGCGGGTGAAACGAAAACAGTCCTGAACGAGGTGTTTGTCCGGTGTGTGTCGAAACTGGACAGCGAGTAGGCGACGATGCAACGATGCAACGATGCAACGATACAACGACTCGGCGGGCGAATGCTGGCGAGCCTGGTATGCGTGGTTCGAAGAAGCCAGGAAGGCCGGCGAGGTCGAAACACGCAGGTGGGAGGGACGAAGTCGGGTGGAGGGATACTCGATGGGGATGGGGAATGGCAATGGGAATGGGAATGGGGGGTCTGGGTGGTGGGTCGTGGGTCGTGGGTCTGGGTAAGGGTCTGGGTCTGGGTCTGGGAGTGTCGAGAAAAGGGGGGGCCTTGACCCACTTTTCTGCCAGTGCCACGAATGGAGGCGAGGCCAGGCCGGCCAGATGTGATCTATAGCACACACCGGCAATCCGCCCTTCCCGCTCGGCTCAATGCACACTGGGCTCGGGTGTCGCAGGTGGACACGGAAAGAAGAAAATGATGAGGAGGAGGATAATGCGTGGGACGGTGGGAAGGGAATGGCGGAGGAGACGAGAAGCAAGCCGCCGTTGATGGAGCGAGGGAGCGAGGGAGAGAGTGGTTGAGGGCGAGAGTGGTCGAGTGGTCGAGTGCAAAGAGACGGATGGGAGGTCCGCTCGGTACAGTACTGGCAGCGGAGGAGGATGAGGATGCGGGCCAGCCAGCCGTGGTCGAGGGGTTTCGCGTGCCTCAGGGGGCATTCGGACTAGTCGCCGCAGCGGATGGGCCTGTCGTATGGCCGCTTGGCGCTGCAGATGGACCCGGAGGAGAGTCAGGGAGTCAAGGAGTCAAGGAGTCAAGGCACTCAGGGACTCGGGGACTCAGGCACCGGAGGAACTGTGGAACTGTAATACTGTACTTAATGCTGTCATGCTGTAGAACTGGAGAACTGTAAAAGTAGTAAGTACACGAGGATTAGAATTCGGCCATGGACCTGCTCTTGCACCGGCTCTGGCACCTGCTCTGGCACCTCTACCTGCACTTGGAGATGGGATGAGAGGGAAGGGAAGGGAAGGGAAGGAAGAGCAGGAAGAGCAGGAAGAGCAGGAAGAGCAGGAAGAGCAGGAAGAGCAGGAAGAGCAGGAAGAGCAGGATCTGGGATGGGAGGATAACCAACAGGCCAGGAGGATGAGAAACTTTTCATCGCTCATACGTAGTACTACTACCTCCCCTCCCTCTACTACTGGTACCGGTAGGTACTATTACTATTCACAGCACAGGATCACCAGGTGGAAGAAGATACCGAGGTGGCCCGTGGCTGACCCCGTCCCGTATCCGGTCGGCGGAGGATTACAAATTTAAAATAGCCAAAAGTCTATTATTTCCGGCCCGCCTCTTAATTACTCGCTTCAGAGTAGAGTAGGTACCGGGACGGGTAGTACTTACAACTAGTACTGTAGTACTACGTCCGTCCGTCGACCACGTCCGTCCTACGTACCGGTACTATTTCCAGCAGCACTCGCTAAGCTCAACCCAGGAGGGTGGATTTCAGACGGACATAAAACCAAGGAACCACCTGCGTTCTATTTAATTATCGATCTATCTATCTTCCTTCGATCGATCGATCCCTTTATTTCAACCCCCCTTCTCCCCTCCCCAACCCTCTTTCCCTCCCCCCCCTTTGCCCAAACCCTTTGCCCAAAAAAAAAAGAGAATGAAAATAGACACCGTTCGTGTGTCGCGCTCCGTGCGCACGCATACGCAAGCGTAGGTACTTGTTCTACTAGTAACTACTAGTAACTACTTGTCTTGTACAAGTACCTGCTTGTCCTCCCTACCGTACAGTAGCGTACCTGCATCAACTGAAAAAAAGAGGGAAGAGGAGGCCAGCCGCTGGGCTCGTTTAGGGCGTAGTGCCAAACCTTGAAACGGCATGAATACGAGTGAATACCGGTACCGGTACCGGTACCCGTAGATCAATGGCACCCGCACAATACCAATCAACTCAAACTTCGTAATGCGGTAGGAAGAAGTGTAATGTTATCCCTTGACTTCCCTTCCCTTCTCATTGACCGACCTACGCTGCGTCGCCGCATCGACCGAGTAACAATTGATGGATCGAAAAGGTTGGCGGGCGACCGAAGCAAATCCACATGGTACGACCACCTGGATCATGGCGGGGACTGGACTGGAGACAACTCCGTACAACTACAGTACAATACCGGTACCTAACTTACAAGATACAAGACACAAGATATAAGACACCACTTCATCCCCGCCTCTCGCCTCCCGCCAAGACGGCGGGCTGCCCTTTGGAGCTCTTGAGGTCTTGAAATCTCTCGAGTCTCGCGTCTCGAGTCTCTCCTCGAGTCTCTCGACACAAACCGTTAGTCACGTCGGTTTACGAAGAAGAGATGACCATGATACCGGTGTTTGTCTGCATGTCTTATCTTGTCCCATCTGTCTCTATCTGCCCTTTTGGGGCGTGAGTAGCGACTCGGCATATCCTTATCCTTTATAGTTTGTCGACTCCCTGCGATCTGCAACTCTCTATGATTCTTCCGATTTTTCCGATGCGAGATGAACCAAACGACACGACACGAAGCAAAGCCGCGGAAACCGTCTTTATTCATCTCTTCCTCCTACCCAATCATATACGGAGAGGTGGGGCACTCTTGAGGCGCGCGCTCTGATCCATCTCGGTCAGAATAGGAGGGACCACGTGAGCCAATGCCTTGAAGTCGGTCACGTGTTGCTCGGGATTTCTGGCTCGGTATGAAGTCGGTCGCCTTATTACCTTCCTACCACCGCCCACTGCCGGGCGGCCGGGCTGGCCCAAAAGCAAATATCAGCACGGGGCAACCAATAGTGTCGGGTCTATCTTGTCTATCTGATATATCTTGTCTGTCTTCTCTGTCTCGTCTGCCTTGTCTGTTTGGTCTGTCTTTCTCAGTATCCCAGCGCCTCGCCTGCACGTACTACTATTTTCCGAGAAGCACACTTGGCAGAGGTTGTCCAGATCTCGTCGTCGCAAATCATCTCGTGTATTCATTCTCCCGGCGGCATGCTGATCCATTTATCGAAGCACCAGTCGCGTCTTCGAGCCGCTGGGCTGGCTGGCTGGCTGGCTTCTTCTGCAGCTTCTGTGGCCTGCCTCCCGCCTCCCCCTGCCCCCCTCCAAAGTCTCTCCGAAGAAATATCGATTGAGAAGTCCGGAGCGTCAATACTGACGGACCGAATCTTGGGTTGGTGAGAACCTTGTCAACACCTTTCCAAGAGGGTCAACTCAGTATCACATATACTCACATATACCCCACCAAACGCCAATGTCTTGCGTTGCGGCGCCCGTCAATTGAAGAGTGTTTTACATTCATATGTATCTTCCATCGTATAGGCAATCTCGGACTTCTGTACAACTTCAGGGTCCTTCCTCTAACCGGGCACACCGGAAGCTTTATAGTGCAGCACTCCTCGGGTGCCACCTTCTAGCCGCAGACTGTGGCTGAAGTACTTGGAATTTGACGGGAAGTCTTCGTGGTTGTTTCCTCGCCGCCTTACAACGGAGGGCTAATGATATCTACGAATCGAATCCTCGTGACAATCCAGTAAGATAGATCGCGGGCAATATATTATTACCTCGTTCATTGTAGAAACCGAGCCTGCTGGTCCTCCACCCGCTACACATTATTCGCTATACTCTCCACGATCTCCTGTGATATTCCAAGCTTCCCAATCATTAACATCGTCCGAGAAGTCCATCAGCGCATCTTCTGATTCAAAGCACTTAGCCCAGAAATCCAAATCATTATTCGTTACCACATTCGCTGGAATAACCATCTGCAGCTGCCACGGGATACCCTCAACCCACGACAAGCGCAGCGCTCTCTCGGGCTCTTCTAACGTCAAGGACTCGATATACTTTACGATGGCATCTTCGTCGTCGGCCCACAAGTCTTGCTGCTCCACCTGACCATCCGAAGCCACCTTCTGATACGATTTCGGGATCCACACCTTGCCAATCTCTTCCACCTTGCGCTCATCCGCTTCAATAGCACAGTACCACTTCTCTTCTATCCCCTCCAAGCTCACGAGTTCGTTGACTGCCGTTTCCCACTGATCAGCCCCGGGTCGTACAAAAGGGAAACGAACTTGAGTCGCAGCTGAATCGACCCGAACCCCAACTCACCCATCCAGAGCCCAAAGCCCAAGCGATTCACGTATGCCAACTCCTCGAAGTGCAGCTTGTTGTCTTCGTTGATCATGTCAGCCTCCTCCTACGCATGCGCGGCGTGGATTAGTACCGTATCGTAAGCTTGCTGATGATGATAGGTAAATGAACAGAAATACAACCCAAGAGTGGAAAAGAAAAAAAAAGCTTCTTTTTTGGGGGGTAGGGGGGGGGAGGGGGGGGGGTTGGTTTACTAAGAGAGAGAGAGATATATATATATATATAAAAACAAAACTTACTTGGGAAACTATCCCGTAGCCGAGATTTCTTCGCTCTTCCAGAAATCCATGCGCGCGACCGGAGAGAAAGCTGGATAGGGCGAGCAAGGTCGTCGTCGCGAAGGTGGACTTTGATGATCGTGGCGGCGGCATCTTTTTGGCGAAAGAAAACAAGGAAGAAAGAGAGAAAAGAAAAAGGAAAAGGAAAAAAGGAAAAAAGGAAAAAATAGGAACGGAGAAGGAAGAGGAGGAAGAGGAGGAAGAGGAGGGTTGATTGATTGAATTGAATTGAATGAATGATTGATTTATTGAATCGAATAATGGACGGAAATGTAAAAGGGTAACAACACTCTGAACTCTGAAAGCCCGTCCGGTGCCGGGGAGGATGGAAGAGGAAGAAATACACATACATACACATATACATATATATATCTCTCTCTCCCCCTCTCTCTATTTATTAATGATTTTCATAAAAGAAATCTCCCAACGAAAAAAAAAGAAAGAAAGAAGAAAACTTATTTTGAGATGGTGTAACAGACACGTCGGGCTATAAATAGGTGAATAATTCGTGGGGCGGCTTGTTACTACCGGTGCTCTGGTATAGGTAGGTACCTTAGGTATAGGTAGGTACCGTGACCAGATGATCCTAAATATACCTAAGCAGGAGTCTGGTTTTGCGGCTCGGCTCGGCTTGGTTTGGTTTGGTTTGGTTGGGTTTGGCTTACCTCTTCGCAAGGTGGTAGATATTCATAGGTAGGTTAAGGTGGTGAGGTAGGTAGTACTACTGTACGTAAGTAGTTTGCTGTTGGTAATCTCCCCCTCTTCTTCCAAATTTAGGAGAATCCGAGTCGGGGGTGAAAAAGTTACTTAATTTACGATACAATGCGGAGCCTCTTTCTTTTCCTTTTTTTTTGGGGGGGGGGGGGGAGGGGGGTAGGGGGCGGCTCTTGCCAAGACTTGTAATATTCATGCTATACAGGACCTATTAGTACTTGTTATGCACGAGATACCTCTTTTATATTGTGATTGATGTGAAAGCCGTTGACTTTCCGACTTGGGACGATGTGATAGGTATGGTGTGAGATGATATAATCTCATGCTGCAGCCCGGCCCGCAGGCTGAAACCTGCCCCGGAGGCTTGCGGAGTGGTAGGTAGGTTTTTCCCGGGGACATTTCGCGGTTATTTGATAATGCTCGCAGCATTGAGCGCTACGTCACGTTGTCTATGTAAGACGTGCACCAAATTTTTTAATCTTTTTTAGTTGGGTGGAGAGGATGTGAAATACGTAGTAGTAGTAGAAATGGTAAGCTTCCAGCCCGGCCCGCGAGCTAAAACTCGCCCCGGGACTTAGCTTGAACACTTACTGTACCCGGCCGCAGGCTACGGGGGAAATCTCCCCGGGACTTGGCGGTATGTAATAGTGCTCGTAGCATTGAACGCCACCTCACCTTTTCCGTGTGAGAAGGACACATTGTTATAAATTGGGGGGAGAGGATGTGACGTGGGAATTCTGAGCTCCAGCCCGGCCCGCAGGCTAGAACTTGCGGCTCCCCGCAAGCTAGCTACGGGGTAGGTTTTCCGGACTCTGCGGTGCGGTCTTCGTAGCTATGTTAGTGTGGTATATCTCTTCATGCCTAGTAGGTAGTAGCCTCCTTCGGCGCGATTGCAGCCACCTATCCCTCGAGCATTTGATCTATTGCGATAGCCCCCTCTAGCGCGATGTAGCGGGCGTCGGGCCGTCTGATCGGTTGACCTAATTCAGGGACTTCCTCGGGCGCTGCTGGTATCGCTGGCGCTGCTGGTTGCTCAGGCAGCGGACACACTGCCTGAGAGGGGTTTCGAACGTGGAAACTTATTTTCGGGCGGTTGCCAGCGAATTGTCCCATATCCTTCGAGCAGTTGATCTCTAGTAATGTCCCCCTTTAGCGCCCCGAGGCACCAATGCAGCACAGCGGCAGATTCTACAGAGGAGCTCGTGCGGAGACTTGGGATTACGATTCAAAGCTACCACGAGCTGGTGTGGCTTTGAGGTCCTTGAGACTTGGTCTCGATCGAGGGACTTGAGAATACGATCGAGACCGGCGTGCGAGGCGCCGGTATTTGCAGGTCGGGTCGAAGAGGAGGTCAGCTGGGAACTCGCAATTTGGAGGGGATTTGATCGAGAATTAAGAATCTAGAGAACTGTGGCTTCGGCGTTGCTTTCGACCTTGTCGGCGGTGCTGTTACCACTCGGCATATCAGTTGCGGTCTTTATGAGAGTGTGGGAGACTTGTTGAACATTCCTTTCATAAAGTCGGCTATCTTGGATTTGGCGCAGGCTCTAGATACTCGTGTCTTTATATCGAAAGCGTATCGAGAAGCGATAGACGAGGTTGACTTGATATGTAGTCAGTATACATAAGCCAGCTAGTTTAAGCGAGGCTTGGAATCCCATTCGACACTTAGCATATCTGACTTCTTCCGAATCCATCTAAGAAGTTAATTGGAGTTACTGTATCGAGCTTATCAAGTATCAGTAAGTAAAGATTCACATTGGCAATATAAACGTACAAGGCCATTTTCTCCATGCTGTGGATGCTACAGTACTATGTAACTGCTAATGCATAAAACCACTTTTCGCACCGAGTCTAAAGGTCAACACTTCGGAAAAAAAATCAGCATCAGCCGGTATTTCTTAATTCTATCTTCAGGAAAGTAGTTAACAAAAACCTGCAGGCTTAAATCTGCTTGTTTAAGAGGCCTTGATACAAAAGGTAAAGCTGAAGTCGCTTCTGTTTTTTAAGACTTTTTCCAAAGTTGAGCGAAAGACAACTTTCTATATTTCTACTATCCCCCCCCACCAATGAATAAATGTCGGACCCTGTTTAGCTTCATAAACCGTAGAGCGGTGATTTCTGGATAGCTTAGAGCCCCCATCAACTCCATTGCACAGACTAAATACTGGCTCAAAGATACTTTGAGGTTTAATGAATCCTTCTATGTTGATCGGTTTAAGACCTGGTAAGATCCCTTGCAAAATTATACTTTCGACATGTCCTTATTCAAGGTGAGGGGGGGGGGGAAGTACATTAAACAACTCTAATAAATTATGAATTCAAAATAAAATCGTCTTATACTTACAAGCTTTTTTTTTGGTTATCAAGAAGGTCATAATTCTTATTTACCTTCCAAAGCTTATGGTTGTTGAAAGTTTAAGCTGTCAAATGTACTAGAGAGTTCTGATGTGAAAAAGAAGTTTATGCATTAGCAGTTAGAGGTGACTGGATAGATAAGAGTGTTTGTATAGCCTACAAAGTTCGCTATGATCGTCACGACCTTTGATCACTCGCTGTCAATTTTGGTATCCGAAGACGTAAGACAGCGGCGTATTTTTCTTCATCAGGCTTGGGAGGTAAGCGCTCAAGAGGAGGGATTTTCGGCTCGGCCTTGTCTGTATCTATTCAGAATGTTCACATTACCTATACCTTTTCGAAGCACATAATTGTTAGAATCTTAAGCGATCTGACTTTGCGCCTTTTATGTGCGCCATCTTCAAATCTTATATCTGCGGAGACTCTTAAGTCTTAATCTATTTGACTGGAGCTTCCGACTGTTGATCCTCGTAAACATATCTCACAATGCAGGCTCTAACTTTGTTTCATATTGTCGAAGACGGCGGTGATCGACTTCGATACTAGAACGGAAGCATCTTGAGGGTTTGGGATTCCCCTGCAGACGGTTCGAGTACGAATCCTTAAAGGTAATATTTTCACAACGCCTTAGAGGGGATTAAATACCGGAGCTACGGCTCCCTCAACATTTCCTTTATAGGCTCTTCGCGCTGCGAAAGTCGCACGGCGACTTCACTTGGTACAACATTAAGTTTTAATACTACGACGCTAATTTACGATGCTCTTGCGGCAAACGCAAGTCACTACGTGTTGCATTTCACCTTCTGCCGGTTCACACGGCGACGCTCCTTCTCTTGGCTCGCTTAACGATACTCGACCGCGCACTCCCTCGAGTATACTGCTCGAGGCCTTTGACTTCGTCAAGATGCTCCTCGATTCGCTAAAGGATTTTTAAGCTTTCTTAGCGGCTACGGAGTTCTTTTCTTAGCACTGCACGCGCTAGTGCTACAATCGCGGTGGGCTGCTCCCTATCTTTAAAAAGAGAGCTGACGCTCCTTTCTATACGGACTGCAAGCCTGAAAATCCGCTTGCTCTTACCCGGGCGCTCTACCACTAAGTGAGCGTAGCGTAGTGCTCACCTAGAAGGACGACACTTAAGAGTAGTATGAGATGGATGTGCACGATGCTCGGCGCTTGTTTGGGATCTTTATTGTTTTTCTTTTGTTTCTTTTGTTTCTACCTCTTTGGTCATCGGACCTACGCATACTTAGCTGACTTTGGTTCGACCTCGACTCTCGTCGCTTTGCGACTCGGAATTGCTAGGCTTGTAAGCTTGCAATGGCACACTTTGCATCGCTGGTTTGGTTTAACACCTCGGTAAGAGAGGTCTTTTTGTGATCTATCTTATTCGTAAGGAAAGGCTGCAGTTGATAGCACCTATGCTGCTCTACCTTGAAATGATCTCTAGAGCCATCTTTTATGTAATTCCATAGCGTAGTACGTCCCCGTACCTTAAAGGTGATCTTATGGCGGCAGGCTTCGCCTGCTACCCACTCGACGTAAATCGATACTACTACTACTACTACTACTTGGAGGGTATTAAAGCAAGCGTTATCAGGCGCATAAGATCTGCAAGTTGGAAAACGAGAGCCCCGTCGATATATGGCTTCAAATGTAAAATCTTGACAATCAATGGACAGATACTTGCAAAAAACCAATACGCTTGTCATTGGTAAGTTGTTTTACCGGAATGCCTCGTTGTCTGGATGGCTTTGTTGATATCTGATTCGACACTTTGACGAGAACAGGCTATGAGTCTTGATTCACAGACAGTGTGACGCATGTGTCATTTGATATTATTGCTTCAGACCTGGAGATATGCTAGTTGGTGGGATGTTCATAAGAAGGAGAAATGTAGTATATCCAGATCTTCAAGAGAAGAAGTCCAACATGAGAGGTTCTAGCAAGTCGGCGAGTAAATTTCATCTCCATCTGCCTACTTTCATCTGCAAAGATAAAAAAAATAGTAATTCAAAAAAAGCTGCCTAGTTATATCTAACATAGAAGCCTGATTCCGATGGGGCTCTGACGCCGCTCTCTCGAGCTAGTCTTTGATACGGGAAACAAAGGCGAGAGTTACGCCGTTAGGGATTAGGAGGGAGCCCTTCTCTAGCAAGCATCGAGTTCTCTTTACTTCTTGTGGTCGAAATATGCTCAAGTGATGATTGACATCTAAAGCAAGCGCGCGGCCTTCCTATAGGGCGGGCATGGAATGCTCGTAAATTACTAATCAAACTCAAACAGTTTCTCTACTGTTGGGAGAAGGCATCTTCTCAGCCATCGGAAATCCTAATGTGGTAGTGGTGCTTATTTATTATCAAGGCGGCGAGCCCGGGGAAGTGTGCGTGGGCACGCCTCTAGTGCTGATTGGCCTATGTTAATTTCTCTACGTTTTGCCCGGTCGTCAGAATGCTGCATGGAAGCATCGAAAAACGCCTTCTTAAAAGTCTTTTTTTTTTTTTTTTTGCTTCTGGAAGGCTTACAGTCTTCCAAGAGACGGGGGGTACTAGAGAATCCAGGTCTAGTGGATATCGAGATGATGCTGGGGATTATGAGGATGCTGGAAGGCATGGCTCAATATTATGAACATGGATTTGAAGGCGCTCTTGCCTCGAAACCATTACATCCAATTGTTTGCTTTAATAACGCTTTGAGAGACGGAGACTTGCATGCCGAAACGGATTGAACTGGAAAAGAAACGACTCGAGGAAACCAATTTGTGACTATGGAATTGGATCGGATCGGATCTGAGAAAGGGCTTGAAGTCCGTATAACATGAATTAATGTTACCGGAGTTCCAATATACTGAGGCTTAGGACGTAAAGCATCAGGATGTTGCTTGTTTAGTGAGGGCGACTGTGATGCTCGATAATGGAGGTTGGAAGATTATCATCAGAGCACAGATTTTGAGTGAGCAAGCAGCGGCACGACCAGGCCCCCGGCACGCCATATCTGCAGCAGCATGCAAGGCTGCATATATACCGCAATGTAGCATTTCCGATAAGAGAATTCTCCGCTGAGTAATGTAGCATGTCTCTTTCCAGACTTTCAAATCTCAACGGTGCGGATGAAATACTGAGGAAGTCCGTCGTCTTCGCTAAAGCGAGGAAATAAACACTCGTCGTCCGAGCAATTGATTTACACGTAGATATACATACATTTGCATTCATATACATGTATAATATATACTTACACGTATACATACATATATGTGTGTGTGTATATAACAAAGGCCCCCCTCCTTTCGCGGCCTCCGCTACAAAAGTGGAATCCCCGCACCGGGACTGCCCACCATCACAGCGGACTCGCCAATCTGAAAAGCCCAACTCAGATCAGCATCACTGATCGCGAACAGCTCAGTGCCCTCGTTGCCCTGAGACTATTCCACGACTGGTTGCTGGTCTGGTCGTTGTTCGCCCGTCGCTTCAAACACTCCACAAGAGTTGCTCGGGGTCGCCCAGCCCAGCCCAGCCCAGACTAGCCTACCGAGGCTTATTGAAAATCCGCGAAAAATTCAAGAAAACAAAATTTGCCTTTCGAGATCCTGTCTACCATCCGAATCTCTTTGGCCCGTCGTGAGGAACAAATGCGCTTCAGCTACGACAGCCACGCGGACTGAGCTTCCGTATCGCAATTGCGTTCTATCCCCACTACACCCTCGAGCAATTGGCAGCGAGACCCCGCCTCGAAGCCCTCCACTTCACTCACACACACGATTACGGAGATCATCACCGTCAGCCAGAATGGATTCATCTGCTGTTTGGGAGGCTCATGATCTAACGTTGTCTGTCGGCCCAGATGAATTCCAGCAGTTCCTCGACATGGGCATGAGCAACCTAGGCGACGCCCTCCAATTTGACTACCAGGACTTCAATCAACAAGATAGTCAAGACATGCCACTGGTAAATCAGGGACGAGGTGACGCTCTGGATACGTTTATGGGCAACGGATATGGAATGAGTCAGGATACCACAAATCAGGAACGGATACCAATGGCAATTGTATCAAGCCATTCTTCTTTCCACGAACCTCCTCTTGCGCAAACACATGGGGTGAACGCAAGACTGTCGGAACTAGATGCTCAAATCCAATTTCTGCAGCATCAGAAGCACGAGCAGCAGCAGAGGCATCTCCAAGAGCAGCAGAGGAACTACTATGCACAAAGCCGCATGGTTCCCCCGACCCCAAATAGCGTAGAGATGCACGGAGGCAGCGCTCACTATTACACGCAACCTGATCAACAACAGTCTATTTTTGAGAGGTATCAGATGCATGTCAAGGAGCACGAGGTAATACCTGTCTGTACCAGCTCTTGTCGCATAGCATTTTTCTGACTATGCTCGTAGATCGCTTTCACTCCATTGGTATCTCCTGCCGTTACTCCTCTAGAAGCTCACTTCAATATACCTGAATATACGGCCCCGGGCGCCTACTTTAGCCCCTTGAGCTCCCCAGCACTTCACGCCCAGACGGAGTATCCCTCAGTCTACGACCAACGGCATTCTGGAGCCACTAACTCGCCGATTGACACGAATCCAGATGCCCACCCCACCCATGGCGGTTCTGCTATGCTGTCCAGAATGACAACTAGGAAAGCTTTACAGTATACACAGAAGCCTCGCAGTGCTCGTGCCATTCGGCAATCACCGATTGTGAAGCCGCAGCGTAAGGGAAGGAAGAGTAGCACCACAAAAATTCCGCTCCAGGCACTGGGCGATATCTTGGAGCCAGTCCACAGTCATCTTTCACGCTCGAAAGAGTGCAATTCATTGCCGTCCTTAACGAGCACAGAGGAATCAGAAAATGGATCGATCTCTCCTGAGCACTTGTCCGATATGGCACCACCACCGTTACCAGCTCCTGGGTCTACACGAGCATCGCCATACATCCAAGCTCAAAAAGGGAATAAAAGAGCCCAGCAACTAGTTCTCAAATCTCCTGCTACCCCTGCCTCTCTCATGAGGTTGACTCAATCACCCCCAGTAGGCCAGCCTGGAAGCACTAAAAATATGGACCTGGACGATCCTGGAATAGATGGATTTGCTCTGCCTGAAGCTGCGGACAGCAGACCTGCGCTCCCGCGTCTTGACACCCAGTGCGATGGCCAAATGACACCTGCCTTGAGCTCCTCTGGGGCCAAAACACCTGGATTGTATTCCCTGCCATCACCTGCCATCACTCGTCCAGAAACTGCGGCATCCAGCCAAAGTCCACAGATTGATGCAATAAATGGAACAAGTGGAACCAGTGAAAACACCCGCAAGACGCCACAACTCGCCACTCGTGCCTCGAAAAAGAGAACCGGCAATTCTGCTCTTGTTTCCCCAGCCATTCTTCCTCGAATATCACCAAATATTAAACCGTTGTTGCCTGGAGGAACTAATGGGTCCGGGGACACTGCTTCCCTGCTCCTCGCAGCCTCCAAGTCAAACTACCAAAACATTCTTGAAGGGACGTATCTACCCGGAGTCTCATACCCGACAGACCTTTCTACAAACCTGACCTCGAAGCGCACTTCTCACAAGATTGCTGAGCAAGGTCGACGAAATCGCATCAACAACGCACTGCAAGAAATCGCGACTCTGCTACCCCGTAATTCGAAAGACAATGGAGGCGAGAAGAGTGGAAGTGGGGAAGCAGGAGATGGCAACGAGGCCATCAATGGGAAATCGGCAGCCCAGAGCGCGAACAGCAAGGCAAGCACGGTGGAGCAAGCCATCGATTTCATCAAGTTTCTTACCGTCGAGAATGCAACTTTCAAGCAGAGAGCGGAGGAAGCTGAGAAGGAGTTGGAGCTATTGAAGGAAAGAGCTGCTGCGTTGCTCGCATAGGCCAATATATACCCGGATTTAGGTTTTTTTTTTTTTTTTTTTTCGCCATGTGGTCTTCTTGGAGTTTTTCAAGTTTATGATACCTGAGCTTGCTTTATGTGAATAGAGATGGGCCGGAGATTTGACCAAATCTTGGGTGTGGGGAGTCGGACGGCGTATTATGCGTTTTTGATGACATGGTACTTTATGCCGTACCTTGGATGAGTTTGCGAATAGTACATGACCAAGAATTCTCTCAAGAAAGGGCTTCTTGCAGGCTAAAATGAGGATCTTTCAAACACAGCCTGGTTTGAGTGTTATGCCGCAAGGAAGAGTAAATAGTAGGAATCCATGCACATGGTAAACATTTACATTTAAATGATCCAGCAAGAGAGTTTTCATGATTTTTGGACATGGATACTGGGAAATAGAAAGAGCCGCACTGGTTGAGAAATCAGAACCAGCGGGATTCATCGGAATAGATGTTCAACTAATAAGTGTTAACTGCACAGGCACCTGGAGCTGATGGTGCTCTATGATTTGGTACTCGACGGATAGGCAGGAGATAATACTGAAGTGTAGGATTCATTCACATCTCATATTTCTCTCCCCGCAGCAGCGCTCTGTCAACGATGACCAATCCTTTTCTTCCGCCCTTTCATCTGCAATCTTCCGCCCCGAGTTGTAGCCTCGAGCAGACAGCACTTGTGTCATTTGAACTTGTTGGTCGGGTGCTACCTAAGCAACTAGGCCCCTAACCAACACCAAGGGGACCTATCCAGCCCGCTAGGGTAGGACCGCGCAGTCAACCCTCGTTATTCACTTGGTGCTTTCGAGCACCTAGCAAGATACCCTTCTGTCACGAAGGGTCTAGGGCCGTCATGGAGACTCTACGCCCAGGACATCCACGTCCAGCTCCTCCATGATGCCCAGCACCAGGCCCAAGCTCTCCATGAACCCGTTCACGGCGACCCTCAGCATGCGGTTCGTCGTGGCTTTGTACTCTGTCCGCAGCACGCTCCTCTCTCCTGCTAATGCTTCGGCTTCTGTTCCGACCCCGGGAGAAGCTGCCGTGGTCTGTGTGATTGCGTCTGTGGGCGCGAGAGTAGAAAAGCAGCGGTGGACGAGAGGGGAGAGTTCCTTGTCGACTTGGAGCGCTTGGAGCGCGGCGGTTGCGAGACGGGCGGTGGGGAGGGGAATGTCGACTGTCCTGTTTTTTGGGGTTTGTTAGTTGCTGATGGAATGGAATTGTATAAAACGGGTTGTGAGTGTGGCGAGTGAGTGGCACGAACAGTGAGCAAGGGAAGTCAGGGTCAGTCGCCATGGTGATTATCGGGGGTTGTCTCTCTTTATTATTATTGATCTCCGGCTCGTTTATTTCCAGGGAATAGGATGAGATGGGGATGGGAGGGGATGCGCCGGAGCCGTTAGTTTCGCAATCGAGGGACTGTGGGTCTGGTTGCTATGGCGATTTGGAAGTGGCACTAGCCTCTTCCAGCGACTTTAAGCTATCTATCTACTCCTTACTCAACTTCAAATTCCAAACAATCCCATCCTCCCTATCCTCAACATTAAAGGCAAAGAAAGGGATATCTGTCTCTGCTTCTGTCCACACCCACACTGCTTCGATAGCGATCAGTATTTCTACTCGGCCTTATCCTTCTACACGGCACTGCGACCAGTTCCAGTTCCTGTTTGAAGCTGGAGACCACCTTACTTTTACCCACTCTGCGGTAGTTCACGAGTCAGAAGTTCGGCATAACGATAAATAAACAACGGCAAATCGCAACAACATCAACATCAACATCCCCGCGCACACAAACCCACGACATTGCCCTCCAGAAGATTCGCAACGGCGACCACGACTCTCTCCTTTGCCCTCGGGTACCGTATCAATATCGTACCTGCATCGCATCGCACCTCAAGATGACTCCCGCTGTCAAGTACGGCCAGATAATCGAGTACATACCTGGTGAGCCACCCAATCCGAAACAACATCATTTTCTTTCCTGCATCTTCGCAGAGCTGCGCGGGCAGTCCATGTGGCCCTAGCAGAGCCCGAAAAGCTCAGCGCATACCATTGTGTCCGCCCGCCAGCTCATGCGCCCGCTATCCTTCCCAGAACAGTGCTAAAAGTCACAGATCGATTGTATTTAGCTGCCTACACCACTCCTCCCTCCGCCGACACCCTCTTCCCATACCCCGACCCTCCTCCATCGCGCCGCTCCCCGAGCAAGCGGTCGGCACGAGCTGTCGATGGGCCCGCGGCCGTTCTCTCAGAGCGGGATCGCACTCCTCCATGCTACTTCTCGATCGACGACACCCTCCTATACAATGCCTTCCACCACGATTTTGGACCATTGCACATTGGCCACTTGTACCGATTTGCCGTTCAGTTCCATGATATCTTAGGGGCGCCCGAGAACAAGAGCAGGCCCGTGGTTTTCTGGAGCAAGGCGGACGCGCGGAGTGAGATTGCGATTCTTTGCCCCGGAGAGAACAAATAACTAATATATATATATCTATCTAGGCCGAGCAAACGCGGCCTGTCTGCTGGCGGCTTACATGGTCCTCATCCAAGCTTGGGCTCCCCATCTAGCTCTTGCGCCCATTGCCCAAGCCGACCCACCTCTCATGCCATTCCGCGATGCAGGATACAGTCAAGCAGATTATGGAATCACAGTACAGGATGTTGTCTACGGTGTGTGGCGGGCAAAGGAACAAGGATTTTGCGCTCTGCCGCAATTCGACCTCGAGGAGTATGAGCGATACGAGAGAGTGGATCAGGGCGATTTCAATTGGTTGACTCCGGACTTCCTCGCATTTGCATCTCCACAACACACTCCTGTAGCACCCATCTCGCCGACATCCCCTATCTATGCCACATTACCATCGACTCTGGAGGCAGTCGATGCTCATCCAACCCTTCCGGGCCCATTCAAGAATGTTCTCAAGCACTTCGTGGAGCGCAATATCGGCCTGGTGGTCCGTCTAAACTCCGAGTTGTACTCGCCATCGTACTTTACTGCTCTTGGCATCCAACACTTGGACATGATATTCGACGATGGAACGTGCCCCCCACTCAGCACCGTTCGAAAGTTCATTACCCTGGCACATGAGATGATTACTGTCAAGAAGAGAGGTATTGCTGTACACTGCAAAGCTGGACTCGGACGCACTGGCTGTCTCATTGGGGCTTACCTGATCTACCGCTATGCGTTCACTGCCAACGAGATCATCGCCTACATGCGCTTCATGCGACCCGGTATGGTTGTTGGCCCCCAGCAACATTGGCTGCATCTGAACCAAGGTATTTTCCGCGAGTGGTGGCTTGAGGAACAGTTCGAGATCAAAATGAAGGAGAAGATGGCCAGCATGGCACCACACACACCGACCAGGAACTCTCAGAAACAATACTTAATCGGCAAACAAATTGCTACTCCTCCGAACGGAAGCAGACGGTCACCACTCGGTGAAGTTGACAACGAGCGTAACAGTAGTATTGGTGTCCAAGACGACTGCTTGCCAGCCCCGACCCCAGGTCAACCTAGAAAGACTAGCCGAACAGCTGCCGACCGCCACCACCCATACAGCCGCAACATCTCATACAGTACTACCGAAGAGGCTGATCACGTGCTACAACGGGAAACCGAAGTGATCTCTATCCACCGTTCATCGAACGATGACCCAGACGGAGAGGATGAGATCCAATTCCGCATGCGAAGCAGCCGCAAGTCCTCACGATCTCCCACAGGCCGCAGCATTAGCCACACCACGACCACGATATACACCTCCGTCGACAATGACAGCAGCAACGATATTGAGAATATCGGCGCCGGTCCTCGACCAAAGACTCCTGGGACTATTAAGTCAGGAAGCGGCTCCAGCACTCTTGCCAAAGTCCGCGGAAGCGCGAAGCGAAGCGGCGATGGATCGCGATGTGCTGACAAGCCTATCGGTGTCCGAAAGACAAGTGGGAGGATCGGGAGTATCAACTCTTCGCGCAAGGTGTCGTCGGGTTTGTGAATTGAAATGTGTTGTCATGTTGGGATCATGCTGTACTATGCTCTACGTTCTTGCATTAAATTCGGCGTCTATGAAGCATATGAAAATGGGGTTGGCATTGGCGTTGTCGGGTGATTGAAGGAGTGCTCGCTTGTATCTGACATCCTCCTTGTCGTTCTCGGTATAAGGATGTTAGCTCTGCAGTGCTGGATGGTGGTTGCATGTTCGTGCCAGCTGGTCATGTCTGCTTATTCTTGTTTGGGTATTGGTGTTGGCTTGCTTACCTAACCTACTCTTTGCTGCTGGGAACGATGAGACGATGTGGATAGCTGCGTTTTTCGCTTTTACTCTACGAACGGGTCTGGGTCTGGCTTACTTTGTCTAGAGGGATGGTCTGCGTTTCGTTCTCGGCGGGCTATTTTATCATGGATGAGGAACCTTCACGACCCTTTATTAGATCGATCGACCTTGCCTACATACAGATGATTGGAGAATCAATTGCCACAGAACGAATCAAGAAATTATGAAAAATCAAAGTCAAAAGAATGACCAAACAGATAGATGGCTTATTGTAAAGTTTCCAGTGGTTTGTGATATGATGTTAAGTGAGTCATGTAATGATTGTTATAAATATTTCTGTTTGAATGAAAAAAGCGTGAAGGGGATAAGACCGACTTGATAGAGGAGCTAGATGGGTAGCTAGCAGATCTGCGATATATAGGTATGTAACTTATGTCAGTAACTCCTCTCCCCTTCCTTCCTTCCTTCCTTTGTTCCCTCCCTCCCTCCTCTGCGTATACATATATCCCAGAGCAACAGGGAACGTAAAGCAAAGCAAAGCAAAAGCAAAATAAATTGTGAAAGAAGAGAAAAAGAAAAAGAGAAACCGTGAGTGAGCAAAGCCCAACGCAAGCAACCTCAACAGTGAACAGATGGATGGATAACCCTCACTCACTCCCTCCTTCCACCCTATCTATCTACCTACTTATCAACCTCCACGTCAAAAAGAGTCCCCCTCTGCTCTCCATTTCAAAATAGATCAGATCAAACCAAAGCCGACAGACGGGAGAGTCCTCCTCTTCCCTCTCTCTCCCACCCACCCTCTCACCCAGCCAGGGACGAAACGGAAAAAGAAAGAAAGAA